GTTTGAAATAATTGATTCATTTGATTCATTTAGTTTGGTGAGTAATTCATATAATGGATCAAATATATTCTTCTTTTGACACCCATAACATAATCTTAATCTATTTATTTTAACATCTAATTCATTTAATTTATCATCTGATTTATAGATTATTTTTGCTTTCTTATCTTCATCATCTCCTTCATTGCCTAACTCTTCTGAGACCTTTTTTAGTTCATTTAATGATTTATGAAATAAATCAAAATGATCATATCTTCTTTGTATACAACTGGTACAATTTTCTATAATTTTTAATGTGCCAAGTAATTCGTTCATTTGATTCATTTAGTTTGGTGAGTAATTCATTCAATGAGTTGAAAACTTCACTGATTTTTATAATAATCCCTCCAAAAATTGGGATCGATTTTATAGGGTAAAATAGTTACGCAAAATATAAACCTTGTCACAGAAGATGAACGAGACACAAAAAATTTTATTTAAAATCTGTTGTGGCAAGATTACTATTACTATTTACCTAATCTTGTCACAACGGATTTTTGTCATATCGACTGATTTTTTTAATTGGACCTTTTATTACCTTTATTTGAGCTTCCAATTTATATTGTACAATATTAATAAACTCCAAACTTATAGTTATGTGTGTAATCATCTGATCCCCATAATTTTCATATCCAACTACGTTGAATGTTGACCATCCTTAAACCACTAAATATTTCCATATTATTTTCAAAAATTACATATTCATTATTTTTTATTAATATTATTAAAGGAACCAAATTTCCGAGATTAAAAGCAAGAAGTTATAATGTTTAAAGTTGTATATATAGTAAACAATTAGACATCCCCCTCCTCGATTGAACGTCTAATACCCTACAAATTTTTTGGGGGAGGTAAAAATAATTGGCCGATATGTTTTTATATGTGAAGCAAAAATTTTAAAAATCCGTTATGATAAGATGGTCCGCTGTGACAAGGTTTGACTGTACTATTGTGACCGATCACCTTTAAATAAATTTAATTTTTGTTCACTATATTTCTTAAGATTTGCTTTGAACAATGAATATATCCAGCGAGTGGGATTCCTATTTTAATGAAACACCATCTGACCAATATTGTTACCAACATCGTATGGAAAAGGATGACTTCACAAAAAGATCTACTGAAAAATAATAAATTCAGGAAGAATTAAAGAAAATGTTAAACGATTATAGCAAAAGTTTGAGGAAAGTATTTTTTGCAGTGTATGACCGGCAGGTAGTGTAAAAGATTTTCAGAGTCCTGAAAAAAGGCCAAGTTCATATAACTACGATTGTAACCTGCCTTATGATCTGCTTCATTGTGGTCTACCGAAAGGTAGTATGGGAGACCTGAGAAAGGGTCAACTCACATAACTATGGCAGGCTTCTGCTTGTAGCCTGATTTATGATTTGCTTGTTCATTAAGGTCTGCTTTTTCAGTGTTTTTCTTTGTAGTATTTATCACATTACATGCTCAGTGCTCAAGTATTATTATTTCTTTTAGAATTACTGAGCCAAATGTCAGGATGTTGACGAATATTGAAAACCACCTGATAATTAATGAACATGAAAAGATTACATCTGGATAAGGTCAACTGTTAGAGCATTTCTATTATTTATATTAATGTAACTAATAATGGTAGATGAAAGTAGCTTGTGTAATAACTTGGGGGAGGGAGGGGACTGCAACAGTCACAGGGATAATAATAATAATAAAATTTCATTTACTTTTTGCAATAACGAATTTTCATGTGTGAAGCAAAAATTTTAAAACCCATTATGACATGAATTTAATTATAGTTTGCTGTGGCAGGGTTTGACTGCACTATTGTGATTGGTCATAGTGTTCTGTGTCACAACCCAAAAAAGAAACAAAATGGTCGTAAAGGTGGTTGCAATCATTTTTATATGACGCAAAGATGGTAGCAAAGTTGCAGCTGGTATCCTTAATTAATCACCTTTAAATAAACTTAATTTTTTTGTTCACTATATTTCCTTTGAACAATGAATATATCCAGCAAGTAAGATTCCTATTTTAACAAAACACCACCTGACCAGTATTGTTTACCAACATAGTTTAGAAAAGGATGGCCTCACTTTTTCATTTCAAAAAGGTGCAGATAAACTAAAAAAAGATCTAGAATTCCTACTGAAAAATACTAACTCAGAAAGAATTTCAAACAATTAAAGTAAAAATTTGAGGAAAGTATTTTTGTAATGTATGACTGCAAGCAGTATAGAAGGTCTCCAGAGTCTTGAGGAAGGATCAATTTCACATAATCGCAGCAGGCTTCTGCTTGTAGCCTGCTTTGTGATTTGCTTGCTCATTATGGTCTGTTTTTCTTTGTAGTACATCTCAGTGCTCAAAATATTATTATTTCTTTTAATCACCAAGCCAAATGTCAGGATGTTGAACAATATTGAAAAGTGAATGAACTTGAAAGAGAGAAGAGATTACATCCGGATGAGGCCAACTGTTAGAACATTTCATTCTTATCTATTATTTATATTAATGTGGCTAATAATGATTTCTGGAGATGAAGTAGCTTGTGTAATAACTTGGGGGGAGGGGACTGCAACTGTAATGGGAAACATTAACACAAAGCTGGTGTAATTAATTCTAATATAGTATGGTTATTGAGTAGAGCAATTAATTTATTCATCATGTTTTTTCATGTTTCTTTGGCAGAACTCTAATAAAAAGTGCTCTTCAGGCACAGTTGTCAATGACAGCCAAAAGAAGGTAACCAATGAACATTATATGGCCCTTAAGAAAAATTATGAGTTATTTCCAAACATTTCTGAGATTTTGAACACACTAATAAATGAAAATGTTCATTAAGGCCCCCGGATAATTCTAATTGATGTGGTAGGTCCTTAAGTGGGTAAAGTTTTGGGAAAATTTTGCTTAAGTCATA